AAAAAAAGGTTCTTTAACTCTTGGGGCATGTGAAGATGGACTTGTCATACGATAACAATTTTTAAATACTCCATACCTTTCATTTTCCAATCAAACAATCTTTTGAAGCATTGAAAATAGCAACAAGTTTCTTTTAAAAAATCGAAGATCAAGTTTATTACGTACAAAAGAAGTATTTCAAGAACCTACTTTCTTTGTCTTTTCCCTCGTACCTATTTATCTTATTTTATACTTCATGTACAAAAATAAAACAATGAATCAATAAGGCGTCAAGTTCATTTAAATAAAAATAATAAAAAATGAAAAATATTTAGAACTTTGTTTTGCACGTTAATAAATATTAAATTATGAAAACAATCATTTCGAGGCCATAGTTGTCCTCTGGCTGAATAGAACAGCCGCTAAGTGTGAGATGGAAGGCATGGCACTTCCTTTTGGTCATAAATTGGCGCGAGCTACGTGTCACTGATAGTGAGGTGAGACCTTCAAAAATTGTGAACCTTAATAGTATTTCTTACCAAAGATGATTACATTCCAAAAATTAAAATGCAAGAGCTCTAATTAGGGCGAAAAAATCTTTTATTATATTACTACATTCCTTGATTCCAATAAATATTTTTCATGCCTAACTAGACTTGATTTATGCAAATAGAATTTCTTTCTGAAGAGAGTTTTATGACAATTTTAATGGGAATTTAAATTAATCAAGTGAATAAAATCAAAATTGAAAAACATATATAGAGAAGTGGATCCTAGTAAGAGATGTGGACCTCTAAGATAAGGGTGGTGCTGACGCGGACTCAACTATATGTAACAGACATTTGTCATCTGCCACGTTACTATGCCCTTCCGTCTTCGCCAAAAGACTGAAGATAAATATTATTTTTCTCACAATAATCATAAAATTATAATTCCTCAAATTCGAACATCATAAAATCAAACTATTTTCTCCTCCAAACTGTTTTAAAAACTAAATGAGGGAACTAAAACAGAAAATAAAATAAAATGTCCTACAGGTAGTTTAATGGTTAATAAATTGTAGTTTGAAAGCTTCACCAGTTTAAAGTTACAACAACAACAACAACAACCCAGTATAATTTTACTAGTGGGATATGAGGATGGTAGTGTGTACGCAGACCTTACCCCTACCCTGGGGTAGAGATGCTGTTTCCAATAGACTCTCGGCATCCTTCCCTCCAAGAACTCCCACCTTGCTCTTGGGGTGACTCGAACTCACAACCTCTTAGTTGAAAGTGGAGGGCGCTTACTATCAGAGAAACTGACGTTGTCGATAGCAAACATCTAACAAAAGCATCGATTATTCATCTTTAATTTGTTAATGGAGTATATATTAATTCCACTCGAGGACATAAAAGAGTGCAATTACCATATTATATTATTGTCATTAAAAACAAGATCGGCCGTCCTTGTTCGTAGTGATTGCAGAAATCTCTCTCGACTACTAGATCCAAGGACTAAGTGCATCAACAGTCATTTTTAAGCCTGTTATTAAAATATATTCATAATTTATAATGTATTTAAAGATTAGTTAATTTATTCAAATTTTAAGACTACGTATCCTGTTTGGCCAAGCTTCTTTTGAGGCAAAAGTATTTTTTTGGTTAAAAGTATTTTTTTTCTAAACTTAAGGTGTTTGGCCAAGTTTTTAAAAGGAAAAAAATGTCTTTGAGGAGAAGCAGAAACAATTTTGGGAAAGCGGAAATATATAGTTTCTCTCCAAAAGTATTTTTTTTAAAAGCACTTTGAGAAAAATACACGTAGAAGCAGTTTTTTAAAGCTTGGTCAAACACTAATTGATGCTCAGAAGTGCTTTCCAAATTAATTAGCCAAACACAAATCCCTTCTCACCAAAAGTACTTTTGAAAAAAAAATACTTCTCAAAATAAGTTAATTTTTGTAGCTTGGCCAAACGAGCTATTAGTGTCCTGAATTTTTGAGCTGCTAAATTGAAATTCAGGACTAAATGTCTTGAATTTCTGAACTACTAATTTAAAATTCAGGACATAAGATTCGAATTTCTGGACACAATTTTCCAACTTTAGGACACGATATTCTGAAGTTTGAATTTTGAGGTTTAAACTTTAGGACGTCGTGTCCTGAAGTTTGAACGAAATTTACTAATTTTTAAATACATTATAAATTATGAATATATTTTAAACACCAATACTTAAAAGTAGCTACCTAATGTCATTTCCGCGGTTCAAGACTGGTAACTGGTCTCGGAAAAAAAAAAAAGAAACATTAAATGCCATTTGTTGCCTCAAAAATAAAAGAATCATGGCATCTTACTCCCTCCACAGGAGACTGTTAAAACAGAAAATGATTATTTTGCTATGCTATCTTTTCTTTTAGGAAAATTGATCATAATAAAATTACATGGTGTGTTGGGATGGTCAAGATTATTTTACCTTTAATCAAAAGTCTCGAATTCAAGCAAGTTTAAATTAGTGGAATTAGTAAACTTAATGATTGTTGGATAATTAAATAAAAATATGAAGAAAATGCTTACTTGAACACATTGCATGTACCAAGAAATAGGTGCATGACATATGCCTTTTGTTACATAAGACTAATTAATTAGCTATTATCTAATAGCATGCATTCTCAATTTATTTTATCAATTAATCGTATCCTCTTTATTTGACAATATTTTCTGTTTAATCTGTTTGAAAAAGAATAATAAATTTCTAAACTTACTAATAATTTAACTTAATTTTTTTTATTTTATCCTTTTTATAACTATATAAATACAACAATAATAACAACATACCCAGTATTATTCCACATCGTGGGGTTTGGGAAGGGTCGTGTACGCAGACCTTACTCCTACCTTGTGAGGATAGAGATGTTGTATCCAATAGACCATCGACTCAGGAAAGTATAAGCACCACATTAATGAAAATATAAACAAAAAGGGACAGTACCAAAAATCATATAAAAGCAGAATAAAAATTACAAGACAGTAAAGTGATCAACAATGAAATAAAACAACGGTTAGTCATAAAAACCTACTATCAACATAAAGCGAGAGTGCGTGCCAATACTACTGTTATGAACACTCTAAACTACCTACTCTACTACCTTAATCCTCGACCTCCATACCTTCCTATCAAGGGTCATGTCCTCGGTCAACTGAAACTGCGCCATGTCTTGCCTAATCACCTCGCCCCACCTCTTCTTTGGCCTACCTCTACCTCTCCGTAGGCCCTCCAATTTCAACCTCTCACACCTTCTCACTGGGGCGTCTGTGCTCCTCCTTCTCACATGACCAAACCACCTAAGCCGCGCTCCCGCATTTTGTCCCCAATAGGGGCCACACTCACCCTGTCGCGAATAACCTCATTTTTGTTCCTATCTAACCTGGTGTGTCCGCACATCCATCTCAACATCCTCATCTCTGCTACCTTCATCTTATGGATATGAGCGATCTTGACTGGCCAACACTCGGCCCCATACAATATCGTTGGTCTGACCACCACTCTGTAGAACTTAACCTTAAGTTTCAGTGGTACCTTCTTGTCACACAAAATACCGGAAGCGAGTCTCCAATTCATCCACCCCGCACCAATACGATGAGTGAAATCTTCATCAATCTCTCCATCCCCCTGAATAATAGACCCAAGGTACTTAAAACTCCATCTCCCAGGGATGACCTGCGAGTCCAGCCTCACCTCCCCTTCCCCTCCTTGAGTCTCACCACTAAATTTACACTCCAAGTATTTTGTCTTGGTCATGCTCAATTTGAAACCTTTAGATTCCAGGGTCTGCCTCCTACCTCTAATTATGCGTTCACACCATCTCGCGTCTCGTCAATCAATACAATATCATTTGCAAATAGCATGCTCGCGTCAGTACGTTCATCACCCGAGCAAATAAAAAAGGGCTGAGTGCCGACCCCTGATGCAACCCCATCATAACTGAAAAATAGTATGAGTTCCCACCCACTGTCCTCACTCGCGTCTTTACTCTATCATACATGTCCTTAATCAACCTAACGTAGGCAATCGGTACACCTCTAACCTCCAAACATCTCCATCAGAACTTTATCGTACGCCTTTTCTAAGTCGATGAACACCATATGCAAGTCCTTCTTTCTCTCCCTATACTGCTCTATCAATCTCCTAATAAGGTGGATGGCTTCTGTAGTTGAACGCCTCGGTATAAATCCGAACTGATTTTCGAAAATAGACATACTCCTCCTCACCCTTAGCTCTACCACTCTCTCCCAAATTTTAATAGTATGGCTAAGCAGCTTGATACCCCGATAGTTATAGCAATTTTGGATATCACCCTTGTTCTTGTATACAGGAACCATCGTGCTCCACCTCCACTCTTCGGGCATCTTCTTCTTTCTAAAAATGACATTAAATAACCTAGTGAGCCACTCCAAGCCTGCCTTGCCCGCGCTCTTCCAAAACTCCACCGGAATTTCATTCGGTCTGGTCACTTTGCCCCTGCTCATCTTACGCATAGCCCCTCAACTTCATCAACTCTAATCCGTCTACAATACCCAAAGTTACAACGACTCCCGAAGAGTTTCAAATAACCCAGTACAATACTCATGCCCCCCTCCTCGTTCCAGAGACTATGGAAGTAGATCTGCCATCTCCGCCGAATAAGCCCCCATCCAACAAAACTCTACCTTCTTCGTCCTTGATGCACTTCACTTGGTCCAAGTCACGCACCTTCTTTTTTCGCGCCTTGGCTAACCTGAACAACCTTTTATCCCCACCTCGGCCCTCGAGTTCCTCATAACTATATAAATATTATAATATATTTAAAAATTAAGACTATAAATTTCAAAAGTATTTGTTATTTCTTAAATTTTGTGTCCGATAATTTATTTAACATAAGAAATTTTTGTGAGTAATCTAATTTAGAAGTTTTTGTTATTTCTAAGACTATTAAGAAATAGCTCATGCGCGAGTAATCTAATTTCCTGCTATATATATCCAGGGGCGTTGGTTGCCGAAAAAAAGAAGAGAGAGAGATACCCAGTGGCAGGGGCGTTAAATAACCACCTTCGCCGCTTCCAAATTTCTACTTCTTTCTTCTTGGCTTCCCCTCCACTTTCCCTAGTCCAAATCACATAAGACACATGGACATATAGAGGCAGAAATTTGATCAAATATATCTAAAATAATACTCCCATTCTTTTTTTCTTTTGTTAATGATTGAGTAAACCCATGTAGTTATAAAATTACGTATAATTATCAAACGGAAAGAGTTTCTATTTCATTTCAAAAGATGTCTCTAATGGCGGCAAGGACGAGGATTACCAGAGCGCTCTGCAATTTACCGCACAAACCAAAGTTGCAGGTGGTTCTTGGAAATGGGCCTGATGGCATTTGGGTCGACCCAATTGGGAGTCCGGTGTCATCATTTTCCACGTCGGCTGCTGTTCAGTCACCGGTAGAAGAGTCGCCGTCGAGGCTATTTGGGCTAGTGAAAGAGTATGAAGATTATAGAAGGGCTTTATATGGTGGGCTTACACATAAAGCTCTTCTTGTTGATGCTGTGGGTACCCTCGTTATTCCCTCTCAGCCCATGGCTCAGGTTTGTTCATGGAATAATAATTTTTTTCAATTTAAAAATGCATGCAATGCTTAGTTTATTGAAGAATGTTAGCCTTTCTTTGAATTTCTTGATCATCTGTGCATTTTCTGCAGCTATATTTACTGCGCTATTGTAGAACCAATATTCAGTTTCTTGATTTTACCTTTTCATTTTTCTTTTTCTTCACCTAGTTTGTGTCCAGAGGTTAGTACTTTTTGCAGTCTTCATGTTATGACTTATGAGGTATTCTTTCTTTAGAGAACTACTACAAATCAAATGCTTTGGTGTAAAGTGAACAATTTATCTTTCTACTTTTAGCATCTCTAGTTGTTCTCCTTCTGATGTAAAATTTGTTAAAGTGAAAGTAATTTTTTCTGGATCTGCTAGTGCTGCCAATTGAGAAACTACTACCCATTTATCTTCTGCTTGTAGTATGTAAATTTTTTTGGTTCCCACTCGGTGTCCGGTACCAATTTTGGGGCCCGGCTAGTTCGGATGGGAAAATGTTTCCAACCAGAATTTTTACCGGTTACGAACCCGACACCTCTCATTAAGGGTGAATAATGCTTCTAATGAAAACTTTACTAAAGAAATGATTTTTTCTCGATCTAATTTTGAAGATATAAGAGCCACAAGAGCTAGTAACTATTTTTCTTTCTGCTTGTAGTATCTCTGATATTCCTTCTCTCTACATGAAAATTTATCATATCAATAATTTTTGTAGATTTTGTTTTTTGAACCTTAGTCTCTAAGGTTTTTGTGGATTCATTGTTTACGACTTACACTCTGTGTCTCATTCCCTGACGATGTGTTTGAATAATTTGGATAATTTTTAGATATTTTGGTGCTCCTCTGTGTATGTGTGTGTACACATATATATATTTTATATTATCTTGACTCTTTCATTATGGGCAGGCAGAGATACTACTATCTTATTGTCTTTCTGCCTCAGTTCTTAATCTCTTTTTTCCCTTACATGTTGTCTTTTTACTATTATTGAAGTTGGTTTTATGGACTTCTCTCTGTATATTCTGTTTGTCCCGTTATGTTCAGTTTGGTCTTATTCACTATATTTTAACCCTCTTGGATATTGCAGATTTATAGGCAAATTGGTGAGAAGTATGGAGTGGAGTATTCTGAAGCTGAGATATTGAAAAGATACAGATGGGCTTATGAACAGCCTTGGGTTAGATCTAGGCTCAGGTATCTGGTTTTGGTTGTAATTTATATCTACAGTAACTTGCTCCCATGTTGAAAAATATTTTGTTTCTTAAACCTTTGAAAAAAACACCATTAATCGCTGCTAATTATGCTCTGCTTAGGTTCTTTGTTGTTTGGTCCTATTCGTTTATATGCAATGTGTTTTTCTTGAAATCTTTTGCTGAAAGATTATGTTTCTCCTGGATGGAGAAATGCTATTTGGATAAGTTAAAGTTTATTGATACAAGGGGATGCTGTTCTTTCTTTCACTGTTACATTTTTTCTGCTTTGAAATGGATAATCATTAAAAACCAAGTTAAAAATTGATAGATATAGCGACAGAGGAGATTGAAACAAAAACTAACAGACAAAAAGAATAAAAGAAGTTTCGCCTGGCTTGAGAATAAGAGATACTCTCCTTGGCTAATATATGCTTGTTTGGAGAAAAGGGTATAACTTTTTTTTTCCTTGCTTTTGATTGTTGAGAGAAGTTGACTTAGCTTGCCTGCTAAAGAAATCCATATCTTTTGTTTTGATCGTTGTCTTTCTCTTGTTGATAAGATTCTAGGTTCTGAGTTAGCTTGAATAGCTTGCTCTTTAACCTTTGTGCATCCTGAGACGTGCTAATCCTCATTGTCCAGATTATTCAACGAATTTATATTGTGATCTGTTCCCTTGTGTGTTTGTCTAGTTATGTAGTACAGTATTACTTTATAAAAGTAGAATGCAAGTTTTGGTAATTCTTATTAAAAGCATGTGTCTTGGTTAATTACAAGTATCTGGTTAAACTTGTATAATCTTGAACTTCTGGAGAACTATGCCCTTCAAAAATTTTATTGTTCTCGTTCAACAATTAAATTTATTTATTTGACATCACAGTGGTAACCAAATAATTCCGTGCACATCATGGACCATAACTTTTATACACTTCATGACCGGATGTTGATATCTAATTAGTTTGAAATCATACATGGTATTGTTATAATTTGATGATGACCTTTAAATCATCTTTGATATTTGAGTGAATTTCTCATCTGCAACAGAAAAAACAGGAATTATTAATGATATGAGTTGCATGTTGCAGATATGTTAACGATGGAAGACCATTTTGGCAACATATAGTTAGTTCTTCGACTGGTTGTTCTGATTCTCAGTACTTTGAGGAGCTATATAACTACTATACTACTGAAAAGGTTGGCTCAGTTTGAGATACTGTGCTATTTCTGTTGACTGCAATTTGGTTTATAAGAAGACACTTAAATTTTCTTTTATTCGTCATTCGACAATAGGCTTGGCATCTTTGTGATCCAAATGCTGAGAGGGTATTCGATGCTCTTAGAACGGCAGGAGTAAAGTTGGCTGTAGTGTCAAATTTTGACACCCGACTGAGACCAGTGTTAAGGGCTCTGAAGTGTGATCACTGGTTTGATGCTGTAGCCGTGTCAGCTGAGGTAATGTGTTATCTTTCCTTTTGCTTCCTTTTCTTCCTTTATGATCCAACATCTGATTTTCCTTTTGGCTTTTAAACAGGTAGAAGCAGAGAAGCCTAATCCAACAATATTTTTAAAAGCTTGTGAGTTACTAGGAGTAAATCCAGAAGATGCTGTTCATGTAGGCGATGATCGTAGGAATGACATTTGGGGTGCTAGAGATGCAGGTTGTGATGCCTGGCTGTGGGGAAGTGACGTTAACTCCTTCAAAGAGGTAGGCTCTCTTTTTTGCTGTTTTTGCCATAACTTGCTTTTTTGGGTTAAGTTACCTAACAAAAGAAGAAAAAAACAAAGATCTGCTTGCATGAATTTGATTTAAATTTCATGGTAAAGTTGCTGCCATGTGACCGGAGGTCACGGATTCGAGTCGTGGAAACAACCTCTTACAGAAATGCAGGGTAAGGCTGCATACGATAAACCCTTGTGGTCCGGCCCTTCCCCGGACCCCGCGCGTAACGGGAGCTTAGTGCACCGGGCTGCCCTTTTATAATGGCTGGCAAACACTTTTGTGATCGAGCAAGAATTTCAATTTTTTGGGTTCTGAATTTTAGAACGACGACTTCAAGTGCTAATAACTTGGTTTTAAATTTTATGTGTACATATTTGATAAATTCCTTAAACAAATACATTGTTTGAGCGAAAGCTACCTCCGCCTCTGTTTGTGATGGCAATTCCAGCCGTAAATATGAGGTTAGACCGGAAGTTGGCATGCATTGTGATGTTTCTCATTTTTCCAACTCATCTTGGTAGAATCAAATGCATTGGTCCCTATTCACTAGAACTAGAATTCTTTTCATAACTAGTTGCAGTAACTTCTTAGCTCTGGCTTAATCCCAAGTGGTGCCAACAATGAGATGTATCTAAAGTTTTTTGACTCATCCTAGCTGGTACAATGTAATGGATCAGTCCCGAATCACTATAATACTTGTCATTACTAGCTACAGTAACTTCTTAGTTTCGACTAACTTTAATCTTTCGCCTGAAAATGTTGCGTGAACCTGACATTTGGCCCTGTGCAGGTTGCTCAGAGAATAGGTGTTGAGGTCTGAAAGGGTAGATTGCTCTGTTACCAAAACTTAATCGATGCTTTCAGTGTGTAAAAAGCCGCTTCTTGTGTATCTTCTCATAATCCCATGTATATATTCTGCTTTTGTAATCAGTGTGAGACAGATCACCAAGGCCTTTTGTTGGTGGGCAATGTTTAGAGTGGAATAAACAGGCTGTAGAACTTTGGTTTCTCAATGCTATATTTGTTAGTTGCCTCTCTGGTTTATTGGAGTAAGCTGGTGTTCTACCTTATTCATCTTTTCTTTCCTCACCTCAAGAGGAGATAAACAAGCAATCAAATCAAAACCAGTTAATCTGAGATGAAAAGAATGTGTAATTGACTTTGATTAAAACTTATTCAGGACAGAAATTTATGCTTTCTTTAACAAACATGCTAGACTTCTATGAAATTATTATAGAAAATAGAAGAAAAAAAATCTCAAAATTTGCAGTAACTAAAATGTGGATCCATAACCTTTCAATCCTTTACTCCTTGTCATCAACTTTAGCCTTAGCCTCTTGCTGTTAAGAAATTCAATCAAGCCTCAACAATGCAGGGTCGAGCTTTTCCATGTGATTTGTTGTGAAAAATGTAATCTTCCCAGAGGGTCACTTATCCCAGCACTACTCCAACCGAAGCATGTTTTGCTTTAGAGTTATGACAGAATCCGGCGCAGGTATGATCGCATCCGTTATTCCTAGAATTCGAAATTCTGTTAACTTATCTCTTTTTCGGTAGAACTACGAATCATAAGGATCAAAATAAATAATCTAACGTTAATAAACAGGAAATTTCAATAAACAAAGAAAGAGAGTTTCAGCAAAAGTTGAGATGCAACCTGAGTATTTTTCAGGGGTCACCCATCCTAGTACCACTATAACCGTCACGATCCAAATTTTCCTTCGTAGGATGTCGTGACAGCACCTAAACTAGGTAAGCCTAACACTTACTGAATTAAAGACATAATTTAACCAGAACAACTACGAAGCATGAAACTGGAATTTCCATAGTAAAACCAATGATCCTAAGTGCAATACAATACCCCAAAATCGATAGTACAAGTCATACGCTCTATTGAGTTTGCTGAAAAATCCCTAAATACAATTGTTCGGAATAGAATTAAACAGTACAAGTACAATATCAGAAGGTGGCTCTGAGGCCTGCGAACGCGACGACAAGTTTACCTTGGGTCTCCACAATAATGCTCGACTAGCTAGCAAATAATCAACATTATCTGATGCACCTGGATCTGCACAAAAAAAGTGCAGAAGCGTAGTATGGGTACACCACTGTTACGACCCAAACCGTAGGGCCGCGACGGACATCTGATGCCTAACTCAACCGAGTACCAACGTAACTATCATTCTTATCATACTATCATGGGTAAATGAACCGGAAAGGCCGTCATGAGATAACTAGAATAAAACATAAGGGAATACTAAACATAGGATGACCCAATATGATATAGAAACTTATACATGTGACATACGAGCCTATAAGACCGACATAATTATTTGTATACTCAATACATAGGCCGATAAGGCCATACAAGTATCCATATACATGTCATCTTTCTACAAGCCTCTAAGAGTACATAAATGTCATAAAGGTCGGGACAAGACCCTGTCATACCAATCAATACATATTCAAATCATACTGACCAAATAGGCAACTCTGGAGCAAGTGGAGTGCACAAACACCTTCTGCTGAGCTGATAGCCTACTAGGAGAACTCTCAACCTGTCTATCGGGACCTGCGGGCATGAAACGCAGCGTCCCCATGCAAAAGGGATGTCAGTACAAATAAAGTACCGAGTATGTAAGGCATGAAAGAAACATGGAGTAAGAAATTTAACCTGTAACTCTGAATAGCTCTGTGAATCATGAAAATATTTATAATGTCATGCATGTGCATATAAATGCCATACCATGCATAAGTATATGCGTACATAACATCATCAAGCCTCTGAGGTCATCTCATCATATCATCTCAGCCACTGTGGGCGAAATCATCAACGTATACCAGTTGATCAGGTGGTGGTGCGTATATAATGCCATAACCTTTTTTATATCCCATATACATATAATATACACGTATATAATGCCATCTGGTCATGGGTCAATATACATGTATAAATGAATGCAATGTATAAGGAAGTAAATCTATAAGATCTCTTAGAATATCATAAGACCCATGAACAGACGATATGATAGTGGGACATATAGGGAATCAAGAACATAGGCAACCCTAGTACTTCTAGTAATAGAATTATTTGTGAAAGTTGCGTACTTGCTCATTTCTTGCATCATATGGATCATGCCAAAAAGGAAAGAAATGATAGCCTTAACATACCTTATCAAAATCTTTCCAATCACCAAGTTGAACTCGCCTCTTCGTACCTTAATCTAAAACAACAATAATAATACTATCATTAAGTTATGAAAGGTACAACTATTGCACAACGAACGACAGACTTATTTTTTATTACAACGGGCAACATCTTCCCTATAATACTTACTTACTTCAAACTCAAGATAACACCAAACACAACAATATAAACATGTATACATTATTTTTCAACCTTATATATACCACAAAATACTACAAAACAGCCCAACACACCCCAATCCCTTCATACACAAAACGACCACCGTAGTAGTGTAAAATGGCCTGAAAATATTACGATGAACGACCAGCCTACCATCCTGAATTTATGTGGTGTTTCTCCACAACCTTACTCCTCCAAAACTCTATAAAACAGTAGTAAAACACGTAGCCCAACAGCAACAAAAAACAATCCACAAAACAGTCCGCTATAAGTGAATAACTCGAACTCACGGCTTTCGATCACCGTCCCGTGAGTTCTAACTATTAGAAAATAAATTTATCAACCTTCCTTGATATTTAAACGCTTAAATACAGAAAGTAAACGTTTTCTTAACTATTAAGTACCTTCCAAAACTCAAACTACAAAGAAAAAGAGAGGCGATATAGCGATACTTACGTCATAGGGGTCGTTTTAATGTTATCGTTTCTTGATTCTGTGCCCGGGATGATAATCTTGTTTGAAGATCTTGCACAGAGCTTAAGAGTAAATTTAGGGGTCTTATTTGGTTGTGTGTTCTAGAAAATTGAAGAAAGAAACGAGATTAGGATATAAATATCCATTTTGTTTGAAAAGTCAAAAGGTGCTACTTGGCACCCTCGCATTGGTCCTTCTTCCAATGCTTATAACTTTTTATCCGAGCGTCGTATGAATGAATGGTTAAGAGAGTTGAAAACTAAATTCCAAGACCTTCAATTTAGTATATAATATGTCCCAAAAAGAACTCATATAGCACACGAAATTTATTTCTCAAAAAGCTTTGTTATAAGGCAAATCATTAGTCGGTTTTTCCGCAACTTTAATCCGATTTTCCCAAACTTCATATTTTCTATCCAAACATCATATATAGCCATATTATGACTTTAAAATCATTTAAATCATGATTAAAAAGTCTTATATTCATCACGTCATCTTGGGACGCACATGGTGTAACAATCTTCTCCCCTTATAAACATTCGTCCTCGAATGTTAAACTCCCAGAAATCTATAGAAATTTTGGCAGAGTCTCCTCTGTAACGGTACTACTACCAACTTGTCACACAACAAACCCAACAATACAAATCCACACAGGACCACAATCATCAATAACACCAGTGACCTCACACGACCAATAACAATAACTAACATAAGAATCAAGTACCATATACGTACCTAAAGGTTGTGATGTCTCAGTCTGATCCTCCTCCGAAAGTGGAAACAAGTGAGGATACCTAGTCTTCATTTCTTCTTCAGCTTCCCAAGTCATCTCCTCCAGATTATTGTTAATCCAAAGTACTTTAACCGAAGCTACAACCTTAGTTCTTAATCTCCGAACTTGCCTTACACAAAGTTAGGCAAGATATTTACCTCAAAAAAACTATATCGTTACTCTAAAATGACCTTCTCGAGTGAAACAACCTCCGGGCGGCTCAAATCTAGCCAAAATTATTTCAAATCATAAATAAAACTAATAGGAAACAATTTCGGATAATAAAGCTTCAATACTTAGCAAAAACTAAAATGTCAACCCCTGGGCCCGCACCTTGGAACCCGATAAAATTTACAAAACCCTAACATCCATTCCGATATGAGTCCAACCATACCAAAATTATCAAATTCTGATATCGAATCGCCCTTCAAATCCTCATTTCACATTTTGAAAGATTTTTACAAAATTTCCCATTTTCTTCCTTTCAATTCACTGATTTAATGATATAAATAAGTATGAAATCATGAAATATAATCATTTTCGGTTAAGGAACACTTACCCAAATCAAACTCGTAAAGAACCCCACAAAAATCACCTAAATCCGAAGTCTACAAACCAAAATATGAAGAAAATAGCAAAACCCTTGACTTATATGATTTTGCCTATGTATTTCCACTTTTGCGGACAAGATTTGCGCACCTGCGCACTCGCATTTGCGAGAAAATTCCCACATCTGCGGATTCCACTCAAAAGCTGACTTCTCGCACTTGCGGACGTTCTTCCTCTTCTGCCAGGTGCACATGCCCAAATCGCTTCTGCGCTCCAGCTCGCCTTTGCGTCCAAGATCTCACATCTGCGGAGCCGCATATGCGCACCAATTTCTGCATCTCCGAAGACTGCCAAGCCCAACCTTTCTCACTTTTGCGCCTTCATCTACTTACCTGCGACCATCTCACCCGCGCCCAGTGGTCCGCCTGTGCGACCACACCAGAACTCAGCCCAAACCAGCCTCACCTAAAAATGCTCCAATTGATCCGAAGCTCGTCCAAAACTCACCTGAGCCCCTCGGGACCTCATCCGAATATAGAAACAAGTCCTATAACATAACACATACCTACTCGATGCCTTAAATCACATCAAACAACGTCAAAGCTACGAATTGTACCTCGAATCGAACTTATGAAATTTCAAATCTTTCAACTTCTAAGACTCGTGTCGAAATATATCAAATCAACCCGGAATGACGTCAAATTTTGCATGAAAGTTTCAAATGACATAACAGAGCTAATCCAACTCTCGGAATTGCATTCCGACCACGATATCATCAAAGTCAACTCCCAGTCAAACCTTTCAACCTTCCAACTTCAACTTTCCAATTTTTGCCGAAATGCTTCAATTTATTCTACAGGCCTCCAAATCCTGACGCACGCC